TACTGTGCTATTCCACGATCCCTAGCAAAACATCTAACTTAACATGAAGCATATATGTTAAGTCACTGAATGTTAAGTCACTGAATGTTAAGTCACTGAATGTTAAGTCACTGAATGTTAAGCATATATGTTAAGTCACTCAGTCCTTTAAAATTTTGTTTGTTAGAACTTATGAGCCCTTCTTTTTAAATTGGCTGCTTACTTTGATGTGTTGAAGCTCAAAAGGCAGGGATTTTTTGTTTGTTTGGTTTGTTTACAATGCTTGGAACAGTGGTTGGTTTGTAAAAGGAGTTCAATAAATATTTTTTAAGCAAATATGTCTATAAGTACATCCTCTTTATGCTTTTAGTATTAATGTATTAATAACTAGGTACTGAGATTTAGGGGGAAAATAAATCCCTGCCCTCAAGAAGTCTATGCCTTCTAGAGGAAATCCAAAGGAATACAATATTTTAATTGTTTATTTGCTTTGCTACTAGACTGAGTGTTTCATGAGTAGAACTTTGTCTCATCTTCGTGTATTTATGTGGTTTCCCAACATCTGGTACTGATATTAAACACTTATTTATAGTTAATTTAATGAAATAGGAAATTTAATAGCTTTTACATACCTAATTCAAGTTAACATTTCTGTTATAAATTTGATAATACTGGATAATGTTTACTCAAAACTAAACTTTCTTCATTTTATCACCCTCTTATTCTAATATCCTTTCAGAATGAAGACTAATATCATATAGAATTAACATAGCCTTCCCAGGGATTTAAAAAAAAAAGAAACTTACAGAAAATATTCAACTGTTTTAAACCAGTAAAGAAATGTTCTCAACATTCTGGTGGCATAAAAGCCAATATCTGAGGATTATCAGCTTTAGCACCTTCTTCATGAGGAGATGTACAGTTTTTAAGTTATATTAACTGCATCAGTAATTAATTATGATGAAAGAAATTAAAAATAAAATCATTTCATGGGATACAGAAGTATTTGGAATTACATTGCAAGATTATTTTATACAATGTAATTCTTATATTTTATGAGATACAATTAAAGAAATTTTTCTCATAAGCATAACATTGTAAAATTACATTTTTTTAGGTAAAATTGAGTAATTGTGTTCAGTACAGATTTCATCATACATACATTATAATGTGCCTTGATCATTACTCTTAAGGGATAGAAAACAAGTCCATTAAAATAAAATTCAGATGTGTGAAGGAGCTGCTTCTTGGAATTTTTGTAGTTTAAATTTTCTTTTTGCTATTGTTCTTTGACTTGTTTTAGTTCTACTGTTTCCCTTGCACGTGCCTGATTGACGTTATGATGCACTGGTGTGGAAATTATGAAAAAGTTGTTTTCACACAGCTGTCCTATAATCACAAAAGAACTTGACTGCATGAAAAGCAAACATATCATTCAGCAGACAATGTTGAATCTGTTCAAGAGCCCAAACCTATTGCTCTTCAATGACAGAAGAAAAGAGAGGGATTAATTTGAAGATGCTTGTGCATGACATATGCTAATTTCTCCCTAGGAAGGAAGTGTCACATGGTGACCTCTAAATCTTAACATTGACCTCCAGTTGTAGAATGTGTGTGCCATAAGGTCCTTTTGCTTTTTCATATGATAATTGAAGCATTTTCCTGGCAACACAACTTTTTTGTGAGGGGAGGGTTTGGCTCAGCTTTTCTTTTTTTTTTTTTTGTCTTTTCTTTTTTGGTACTGGGGATCGAACCCAGGACGTTGCACTTGCTAGGCAAGCGCTTTGCTGCTGAGCTACATCCTAGCCCAGCTTTTCTATAAGAATTATAAAATTCAAAATAGTTGCTTTTAGTATATTCAGAATTTATGTCATAAAAGTATTTTTTAAACTTCAGTGAGTGAAGCTATATGAAAATTCTTCTAACAGCATTCAAACATAATATGCAGCATTTTTCTTTATACATTAGTATGTTTCACATTGAATTCTTATGCAATGAGTATGGGAAATGGAAAGATCACTGAATATTTTTTAGAGATATTTCAAAATCATCTATTCAGGTTAGGTAATAAATGATTAGAAAATGTAATCAATAATCTGAAGACCAGCACAAGCATCTTAACTATGAGAAACAGTTTTAAAAATTACATTTTGCCAATTCTGAATATTTTTGTCATTTTTATTTTACTTTTTATTATTTTAGAGCTATACTTTGCAGTTTTTGACACATTATTTATCTATACTATTTTTTAGATTTTGACTTGAAGAGGAAGTTAAACTACCCTGTGGTTACTATTTAATAAATTACATCATTCCATGCTGTAGTTTTAATAAACATGCCCTTCTGATTTTTAGTTTATGTTCACTATGTTTTGCTGATTTTGTTTTCATTCTCCACTAATATAGAACTTTTTTTCCAGAAAGCACTGTACCTCAATTTTCTCCTCTTTATTTCTTCTATTTTCCTCTGCAAGTCGCTGCACCTGTCGTTTCCGCTCGGCCTGATGCTGATCGCTCTGGCTCTGACTCTGCTTCCACTCCTGCTTTACATACCTGTTTCTTAGTCAATGAAGGTATTCTCTCTCAACTTTCTAATGTCTTCCTTTCAATCTATACTTTACTCCAACAGATTCTCTTCTTTTTATCTGATTTATACATTCATCTGTTTTGTTATTTATGAGATCCTAAAGTTCCCATTTTATAACTTTATTTGCTTATGTCATTGACAAAAACCTATTATAAAAATGTGATGTTACTCCTGGCTGGCATAAGCCATGTTGTCTACCATCTAGAATGCTGCTGTAGTAGTGCAAAGATGCTAATCCTTTGTGTGATGTCAATGTTAAATGGCAGACTGAATTTTGTGGTCCTATTTCCCACGTGATCTGTGGTATTGTTGCTTATGAATTTATTTTGTATGTATAATAGTCTGTAACAGACAAACTTTTGTCTTTACAAAGATGTATGCTATGATTAGATGGAGATATGTTATAATGGAGTCTCTTAATTTCCATTCTCATTTGAAAAGTCTTCAGATTGATTATAGGCTGATAGGAATTTGCCTATCCTTCTACTAGTTCCAATGCAGACTGATGCAAAATTTTAGAATTTAAATCTTTACATTTAGTTGAGCTATCGCATTATTCTTACAAAGTTACAAAGTGGAAAGTAATTTTTGGACCACTGAAAATGTTACTGAAATCTTTAGACATTGGTTTCCCATGGCTTGTCTAGTATTATGTATTATTTATAACTCCTGGAGCTTTAATGGAGGTTGTGAGTTACGTTTTGTATCCAGTCTCCATATGACTAGTTTATATGATACACAAAGGAGGAAACTTAAAAAGTTTCTAAAATCTAAACTTTAGAATGATTCTGACCCTTCAGAATATCACAAGTCTGTCGATGAAGTTTAGAACCCGTGTTGCAAGTTGTACTCCTTTACAAAGAAATTATGTGGAAACTTAAAAGTCTAATTTCCTTTCTTGTTTAGTTACTTTTCATAGAATTGTTCTAAAATTTCTTTGTTAAGAGTGGATTTTAGGAAAAATAATTAGAGTATTTGTTAAGTTATTGTGAAAAATAGTTATCTGTTAATTTCCAGGTAAGCTGTTAGATTTGGGGCTTTAAAGAGAGTCATCACAAAGTTCAAATTTAGTTCATAGATGCCTTTGAAATATATATATACATGTGAAACATTAAAATGTATTAAGGATTACTGGGTAATAATGTTATATGTATATATGTATACATATATATAAGTATCTGTGTATAACATAACTATATCCTTGTGTTGTAACTTATAACAATGTGTATGAATATATATGTACATATATTCTTGTGCTGTGAGTTATAATCTAAAATGTGTGTGCACCTATCAACTTAGTGTGATTACATATTATCAGTTGATGCAAATTTCCTCACTGAATGGATGAGTCTTTAAGTAGGTGACTTGACGATTTCTCTCATTAGCAGTCCGCTGATCAATTTGAGTTTTATTATACTTTTTGTCATTATTTTAGTAAAGTAATTTAGTAAATGTAATTTAGATCATTTCAGAGCATTGACTTGCTAAAATCCTGTGTTCACAGATAACTCACCTTTAAGTGACTGAGGGCATATTTTTTAATCCATTCTTGATTATTTATTTTTAGATATTATCCTCAGGAGAAAATGGTAATGATTGTATACTAATAATGCCCTGCTGTGTAATTTTGGAAGAATGAGTCTCACTTATAGTATTTATGAAGGTATTTTAGATCATTTTAAAAATAAGATTGAAATGACTGAGAATGCCTTCATATTAGTACTTTTACATATTATAGTGTAAACTGTCTTTTTCATATAATCATTCTATATGTGAATAAGAAGTTTGGAAAATGTAAGTTTCAGTACTCTAAATCAGAATTTTTAAGAGTGTAAATTTTGTTTGGTCAGATTTTTATTTTGTAGAATATCTGGATTCATATTTACTCTCAAATTGGTATATGTTACTTATTTGGATTATGATTGTGATTAAATATCAGACTCAATTTGTAAGAAAAGGAATAACTTCCATAATTGAAGACCCTCAAATGAGAAGGGAAGATATTTCTCTTGGATGATAAAAAGGCAACAGATAGTTAGCCATGCTTTAGTGATACAAACTGTCTTGGAATATCTTTTAACTGATAATATTTTCACATCTATAGCTCTTATGTGTATTTGTTCATATCCTCTTCTATCCCCTAATATATGTTTTACTTCACAACATTTGTTTAGAAATGTATTTCCTTTGGGAATTAGGTTGTACTTTGTGTAGAAATTTGTTTTAAGATGCTGAGAATTTTTTTTAACTTTAAAGTTTTAATGTTTTTGGGGTTTGAGCACAGTGCTTCTCCTTGCTAGGCAAGCACCACACCACTTGAAGTACAACCTCAACCCAAGAGATACATGATGAAATACATTGGATATAAATTGTTTGTGCAAAACATCTAAGTGTAAAATCATTCAAAGTATGTTTGTGTTATCACATTTTGACAGGATGGAGTCAGTTAGCTGCTATGCATTGTGTAATGTTACCAGACCTGCTGGGACTGGATAAATTTAGGCCTCCACTTCTGGAGATGCTGGCTCGAAGGTGGCAAGATCGATGCTTGGAGGTAATGTCAAGGTGATGAGGATAGATAATAAAAATATTACAAAGGCTCATTCAAGCTGGGTGCCAGTGGCTCATGCCTGTAATCCTAATTACTCAGAAGGCTGAGATCTGTGGATCACAGTTCTGATGTTAATTTCAACAAAAATAGTGTTCATTCATATGTCTTACTACCTGTTCACCATGTGACAGAAAATATGAATTCAAGATTTCTATTCATTGTTCTTTTCAGTATATATCCTAAGCAGTAATATTCTTGCTCTCTATTCCTTTACATTTTTCTTTTAACCCAGTTAATAGTTGATAAATGTTTCATATTCTTTGTAGAATTGTGTCTTAATTGTTGAGTTTATGCAAATTATACAGCCATATGCACAAATGCATATAACTGCATCCTCAAGATCATACATTCAATACCATTACATCAGTCAAATTACAAGGCCGTAGTCATAGTCCAATGGAAGGTACTGTATTATAATAAAATGAGAAAATCTTTGGAATTAGAGGACAGCTGAATTTGACTATCAGTTGTTAACTTTGTGACCCTGGGAAATTTACTTACCCTACTTGAAGCTCATTTGTAAAGTGGGGATAATAATATAGTCCTCATGGGATTGCTGTCAGGATCAAATGAGATAGTGCAAGTAAAACAGAAGTACAGAGCCTGACACGTGATAGAATTTCAGTAATTGTGCCCAGTATTTGGGCTGTATTAGATATTGCTTAGAATAGCTAGAACTTGGAAATGTATTAACTGAGATTTTCCTTACTATTTTGATTTGTACAGCTGAAGCTGTTTATATCATTTAAAGTTTTTAAGTTTTCCAATATAAAGGTGGTCACATATCACTTAATGATGTGGATATATTCTGAGAAATACATTGTAGGTAATTTTGCTTTGTGAACGTAATAGAGTGTATTTATACAAACTTAAACTAAGCTGGCCATACTGCCACATGGTGATACAATATTATGACTGTCATGTATGTGGTCTATTGTCGACTGAAATGTGGTTAAAATACTTTTTAGTGATGATCTTTGATTATGTGTGAAGTGCCACCAGCCAATTTCTTCAGTATGCAATTTATTATTTGGTTGGTATTTCTCATGTAAATAAATATGGTTTCTAAGCCATGTGCCAGTGGCTCACACCTATAATCCTAGCTACTCAGGAGGCTGAGATCTGAGGATTGCAGTTCACAGACAGCCTGAGCAAGAAAGTCTGTGAAATTCTCATCTCCAATTAGCCACCAAGAAAAAAAATAAAGAAAAGAAAAGGCTGGAAGTGGAACCATGGCTCAAGTGGTAGAGTGCTAGGCCTTGAGCACAAAAGCTCAGGACTAGCCCAGGCCCTGAGTTTAAGCCTCAGAACTAGCTATATATAAATATACACCTGTGAGCACACACAATACGTGCGCGTGCGCGCATGCGCACACACACACACACACACACACACACACACACACACACACATTGTTCTATATGGGTTCTGTGTTCTAGCTTTGTTTCATTATGGAACTTCCTAATTACAGACAGCAGCTGGTGTGCTTTCTCATTTTTGTGATCTTCTTAGGTTAGAGAAGCTGCACAGGCTCTGCTTCTGGCCGAGCTGAGAAGAATTGAGCAAGCAGGACGAAAGGAAGCCATCGATGCCTGGGCTCCTTATTTACCTCAATATATGGACCATGTCATATCACGTAAGAGTTCTCATTCTTTTATACATAGCTTTACAGGCTGAAAGACTATCAAATTCACAAATATGCATGGGTCCTATATTACCATTTACCTTTAACATAAATGACCTTCAAATCTGTATTTCATATTCTGAATCTCTATAGTTTAGAGTTTGGTAATTTTTTTGAAAATAGCAAAAGTTATCTAAAATCAAAATATTCACCACTTACTAACACACCCCATATAAAACATTTCTTATAAAATTAATTCCCAATTAAAAATCTTGCCTTATTTAACATTGTTAAACAGTTTTCTCTGCCTGTTGAATTTATGGGTGTTAACTTGGTCCATATTAATCTGGTGATATGCAAGTATAAATATTAGTCAAGATCCATTGCAGGTTGAGGGTGGAATTGTGAAATCTTAAAAACAAAGATCTAGTATAGTTAGGCCAGTATACTATTGAAGAAAGAGGATATTAATAAGGGTTTTGACAGATAGGTCTTTCAAAAGAAAAAGGTTGAAAGTTTGGAGTATTTTTTCAAATTAAACCTTTGTGATCATGCTGTACTTTGTTTAATGTACATTGTTGTAATTTTTTCTTCTCATGAAAGATGATTATCCCCAATTCAAAATTTTGATTCATTATTTTTCTATGAAAGTTTACAATTAAATATATTCTAATAATGTTAATTATATAATAAATTAGTTTCAGTTATTAAAATGAAATCTCAATGAGACTTGGAAAAATACTTTTATGAAAGTTGATCTGGATTTTAAGCGGATATATCCCAAATGACAGTTTACCAATGCCAGTTATTCTTGGTAATGAAATACTCATCCAAAGGTCATGCTTACTAAATATGTCAAGATAGATAATGCTTGATTGTGCAGGAAGGAAAATGAAGACAAAATTCATAAAAGGTTGGAGCTGTAATAGCTGGTCTAAATATCAGTGGCTTGCAAAGGTGACAGTAGTAAATGTTTAATTAGGCCTGTTTCCTTCAGCACTTAAGGTTTCTTACACTCAGTTTTGTTAGAGGTAAAAATGGAGATTATAGTAGGACTTTGTAGGATTCTAATAAGTATGGAATAAGTTCATTTTTGTTAAGTGAACAGAGTGCCTAGCCCATAGTAAGCAACTGTTTATTTCTTAAGAAAATACTGTAAAACATTGAACAGTTACAATTCTACTTAAAATTCTTACCTGTCTGAGTATCACAATATTCACTTATTCAATATAGATTTTTCATTTGCTTATGGGAAATTCCCATTCTAATAAAAGGAAAATAAGTATTTAAAAAACTCTAGATATTTAGATTCTATAAAGTGTTAGGCTTAAAAAATTTTTAGAAATATTTAAAAAAGAAATTTCTGGAATATAAAATGTAAAAATTAATAAAGTTATACTTCTGAATATTTGAATAATCAGTCTGGAACATATTTTTGTTCCTAACTTGTGAGCTTTAACTTCATATTTCAGAAAGTGTAGTTCAATGATCAGCTTATCATAAACCTTATTGAATGAAAGAATAAGTTAAATACAAAGTATGAGTGTGGTAACACAGAGTTCATTGAAGATAAAACTACACAATAGCCCATTACTAAAGATATATATTATAGAAATAATGAGCCAGGTACTTTAAATGCACTTGAATAATTATAGTTACCTAAGAGGCTGAGATTTGGAGGATCAAAGTTTGAAGCCAACCCAGGCTTAGAAAAGCACATGAAACTCCATCTCCAAAAATCACCAATTAAAAACAGGCTGGAAGCATGGCTTATTGGTAGTTCTAGCAAGAAAAGCAAGCTGAGCAAGTATGATCCCAAGCTCAAATCTCAGTATCTCAAAATAGGAAAAATAAAAGAAGAAACATTCAGAGATATCTTCAAGACATCTCCATTTAGAAGGTGTAAAGTGGTGGGGAATGATTAAGGGGAAATAAATAGGTGAGGAGCTATCCTAAAAGGTGATATGGACCCAGACATAAATGTAGGTAAGGTATAATCAGAGACAATTTCTAGGTTTTGATTACTATTTGCATTTAAAAGATTAAGAGAAACCGCAAAGATTAGCACAGTATTGTATTCTTGACTGTTCATAAGAGGGGTACTCTACCCTGTTCCTGGAAAGGAGAGAATGATTCAGCCCAAAGATTAGCACAGTATTGTATTCTTGACTGTTCATAAGAGGGGTACTCTGCCCTGTTCCTGGAAAGGAGGGAATGGTTCAGCCCAAGATAAAGGCATAGCAGAGCCACAAGTACTCCCTGAAGCAGTGACAGAAATGCATGTGCTGCCAGATGAAAGATCTGTTAGTAGGTTCAAAGAGGATATAAAGTATGCCTAAAATGATAAGCACTACTATTAATTGTATGTGTCTTTCTACCAGACTTGTGCCAAGTATTTGGTCTTGGTTTGTATATTGCATTTTGTTGTTAACAGTAATCTTGTAGGTGGTGTTGTTCTTCCCACTGCCACTATCCCTACTTTATTCTCTCCCATAAGAGTTAACTGAGGCTAAGAGGAATTTTAAAAAATCCTCTGAAGGTCCCTCAGATACTTAGATGACTATCAGACTCCAAAGCTCATTCTTTTAACCACTGTTTATTCTGCCACTTATTCCAAACATCATTAGATTGTTAAATAGGAGGTGGGATAGATGTTGAAAAATAAATAGGTATTTGGTAAACTAATACTGCTTTCATTGTTTTGTGTTTTCACAAAATGGACTAGAAAATAACTCCCACAGTTATTCTTTGATGATTCTCATATTTAAATATTTAAATAAGTATGAATTACTTTGTTCCTAGGTCAAATGTAAACCTTTCCATTTATGTAATTAAGTCCTGTTTTCTTACAGTATTTGTGAATTTATAAATTAGCTGAATGTTGGATTAGTTAAATTTTAAGATTGCCACTCATAGTAATTGTATATTCAGTGAAAGGATAAACAAACATGCAAACGGAAACATTCTACATTAACAGCTTTTGATATAATGTTACTTGATTCTGGAACTTTTATATTGACTGTTAAATGACTTTTAGTTTGCTTTCTTGGAGCCTTCTATTTTAATAAAGGGATGTCAAGCTAAAGGAATAGGGATTTTGAATGTATTAAAGAGAAGAAAGCAAAGAACAAATGAGGAATGACTACATAGGGCTGTTGAACAGATTTGCTGTCCGAAGGGATCAAAAGGTTATGGAGCCAGCTGGTGGACAGCCCACACCTGCCACCTACATCCTTGTAGTGAAATTGCCTCTGCCATTGTCATTAATATTTGAAGAGATGATCATTATCACAAGTTGTATTATAAAATGTTGTTTTATAAACATGTGCTTTTTAACATGGAGATCTTAATCACTAAAATAAGCAAATTATTAAGCAATGTATCTGTTGAATTTACCAATTATCAACTTATTTTAACTATTCTAAGCATTTCAAAATACATAATAATTAAGCAATATTAGCAGCACTTATTACTGAGCTTTGTCTAAGAAGTGCCTTATTAAATATTTGAAGGTTAGAAAATGCTGTTTCCTAAAATGAAGTCATTTTGTACCAAATAGGGATTGATATTATTTTCTGAAATGGCTTTATTTCAGACAAAAGCATTTTCTTGGCTTTGATAGCCTTCATTTTCTAGTTCTAGAGTCAATGGTTTTAAGTGGGTAGTAACTTTGAGTTCACAGTCAGCAAGTGATTAAGTGGGAACTAAAATGACAACACCAGTCAACTGGCCATTTTGACAGGATCCTTGGCTTTTTTTTTAGGTATATTGTGCAATTAAAGAGTCTTTTGCAGGTTTGAAGATTAAGGAAAGTAATAGATCAATGCAAACTGCATTTTCAGGACACCTGAAACCATTGAATAGAAACTTTGCATAGCATTGAGCATAACACAAGTAGTCGGCCACTAGTCCCTTTCTTACCTCTTTCTGGTTTCTTTAGCTTTATTTCCCTATTGCTGCTGCCTTAGAATTTACTTTAATTTATATTACTCAGGGATTTGACAGTGGATTCCATATCACTGGGAAGAAAAAAATGGAGCAATAGTCTGCCTTAACTGAAAGCCACAGGTTTTTATCAGAAACAAGTTTTCAACTATTGAGTCACATGAGAAATTTTCTCCAGGTACTAGAGATCTGTCCTTAAGCCAGTTATGAATCACCATTTTATCCTTTACAAATATCACAACTATGTAAACTTTTTTTCTTTTGTCAGTCATGGGGCTTGAACTCTGGGCCTAGGCGCTGTCCCTCAGCTCTTCAGCTCAAGGCTAGTGCTCTACGACTTGTGCGACAGCACCACTTCTGGCTTTTTTCTGCTTATGTGGTGCTGAGGAATTGAACCCAGGGCCTCATGCATACGAGGCACGCACTGTACCACTGAGCCATCTTCCCAGCCCATATGTAAACTTTTGATGCAAATTATAAATAGAAAATCTAAGGATAAGTCCACTGTGATACTATTTGAATGAAACAACTCAAATTATAAGTACTGCATACATTCTTTTTTCTTTTTGTAAAAAATTTTTATTAGCATTTATTAATTGCACAAAGGAGTTTTATGTGGTATTTTCATACATGCATATAATATACATTGATCAAATTCTATCCCTTTGTTAATACGTTTTTTATTATAAAAATAGTGTACAGAAGAGGAAGTAACAATGCTCAATAGGAAATGTACTCATTACCTTACTGCATACATTCTTTAATGCTAATTTACAGAGCTATTATAAATCTTTCCTAAGTCATCACTCTAGCATGTAACTGTACATACATGTGTTTCAGAACCCTTTAAAATTTTGCCAGGCGCTGGTGGCTCATGCCTGTAATCCTAGCTACTCAGGAGGCTGAGATCTGAGGATGGCAGTTCAAAGCCAGCCTGGGCATCAAAGTCTGTGAAACTGTTATCTCCAATTAACCACCAGACAAACGGAAGTGGCTCAAGCGGTAGAGCACTTTTCTTGCCCTGAAGAGCTGAGACATAGTGCCCAGGCCCAGAATTCAAGCCCCAT